GTGTCTAGGTGTCCGCCGTCGAGGAAGATGGTGTCTAGGTGTTTGTCGTCGAGGAAATGAGTATCTAGGTGTTCGCCGTCGAAGAAGTGGGTGTCTAGGTGTTTGCCGTTGAAGATTATGTGTCTAGATGTTCGCTGTTTTGTAGCCGAGGAACTGAGTGCCTAGGTGTTCGCAGCCGAGGAAGTGGGTGTCTAGGTATTGTCTGCATTCGCTGTCGAGAAAGTGTTTCTAAACGGAACGTAATAAAAAAAAATTTTTTAAGTGTCACTCTTCGTTTCTGGCGTCTCAATTCAGTATGGCTCTTACAAAATTAATTAAATGAGCTTTTACAAAATTAATTAAATGACGTTTATTTTACAATGACGTTTTAAGACGAAAAGTTCCAGTTTCAAGCTCTAAGCTGTATTCCCCTACGTTTAAGGTTAAAATTATACGCTTTAAAATCTCATTGTAGATGTCGCTTTCTATTAACTGTGTGATAAAGTACTTTTTATTATAACAATGTAGGTTTCGATCCTATGTATCGGATCCTTCTCAACACTCTCTACATACTGCATCTCAATGATATTGATGTAGTATGTAGAGAATGTTGAGAAGGATCCGATACATATGATATTTTTTAGATATCCGATGAAGATGTTTGAAATGCTTTAAAGATGTCTAATAGATATCTTTTAGATATCTTGAAAAATGTATTGTAGATCTTAATATAAAAGTTTTACATAGTAAAAGTTACATAGCATGACAATGTTAAATTTATTAATTGAAAATTGCTATTTTCAACGCACTCGCGCTGTGAACAACAATTTTTAATTAATAAATTTAACATTGTCATACTGTTTTTTTTATATAAAGAAATAGACACTTCATTTAGAAAATATAATAAATTATATATTGTGAATTTTACATTTACATTTTTCATTTCATTTTACATTCATTTTTCATTTTACATTTCATTTTACATATTCATTTTCATTTTCATTTTACATTTTCATTTTCATTTTACATTCATTTTTCATTTTACATTTCATTTTACATTTTCATTTTTATTTTCATTTTCATTTTACATTTTCATTTTTCATTTTACATTTCATCTATATATTACTTATCTATTTCTATTATATTATAATTTACCGCCAATTCTTTTTTTATGTTTTGTGTTTTAATTAACATAAACAGTTATGTAAGTACGAAACAAGTATTTTTTAACATCATAGCATTATATTTGTGTAAAGATGCATACATTTACACAAATTTATTTATGAAGTACAATTGTTATTTTATAATTACAAAACAGACAACAAAATGAAAACTGATTACGGAAGTTATATAAATGTATAAAATACTTGCATGATTATAATTACACAACCTATATGCCAATGTTATTGATTGATTAATAATCAAGGCCAATTTTAAACTGACGGCACCTTCGAGGTAATCGTACCGGTCATGGTGATCAGATCGACATCTATCACTAATTTACGATCTTCTATTTGGAATTTGGTATTATCTTAATCGGCCGCTGTCATCATCTTTTTTTTTTGAAAAACCTTCTCGAATGCTATAAAAGAAAAAAGGACAGTATCCTGGAAGACTTGATGCATGGAGATCCTATGTACAGACGAATGGTAACTGTTTTATGTAGAACAATTATTCGTTTGCATGTAGCATTGCTATTCATTATTTTTCCTTACGATATTGTTTTCTTTTTTTTATAGTCTGGTGATAAGGAAAATGAGGACGGATAGCAATTCTATCCGCGTAACATATTTGTATACTTACATCTTATTATAAGCTCGGCTG